TTGGAAGTGAATCAAAAGGGGTTAAATCTGGGTCAAAGGGTAGTTTCATTTGAATGTTTGACAGATACTTCATAACCCACTACAGGAATTGTAACATTTTGCAATGAATAAGAATTTCCCCAAAGTATCACCAACAGGTTTGTTGTCAGATTCTCAAATGTTTGCAAAAATGATATCCCAGTGTGTTTTAGTTTTCCTTCTGTTATTACAACTGAGTTTAAGCACACTTTCAGATATTCAAAGAGATTGGTGTTTATTTCTCTGTGAACTTTCTTGTCTTTTTTTTTTTTCTTTTAGGATGTTGGCTTTTTTTTTTTTTAAATCAAGTCCTAGGAGTTCTTCATGTGTAAAGGATGGAATTGTTTTCCCAGTTCATAACTGTAAATCATCAGTTATGCAATTCTTGATATAGGGTTTGGAAGCACAAGAAAATGATGTTTCTCATTAGAACAGAAAGCGGTACACAATTTTCAAGCTCCAAAATCATGGAACCCCACTATCCCATCACTTGTGGTATTGAGCCGCCGGAGACATTACTTAGATGTCTCTTCAGAAAGAGCTAATGTAACAATAAACAAACTTATTTTAACAATAAACAAACAACAAATTTATTGTACGGACTCAGTTCAGAGCCTGAAAGTGATGATCAGGATAAACGTGACTTTCTGTCGCTCCACTTGGAAGAAAAGGCAAAGATTTTTCCTCTAATATCCTAGTGGAAATCAGAGCTTTCAATGGACCCCCTGCTTTTCTATCTATTGCTCTTGCCGTCTGGTCCCCGGATCCATGAATGGGTAACTCTCCACTGGATTCTCCACACCTAGACACCTTCCATAATTTGTCCCTCTTCCTCACCATCCGTCTGTCCCCATTCAACCAGTTGCCAATACTATCAGCCCCCCTTCCCAAATATTTCTCAAAGCCATACAGTTCTAAGGACATTAGGAACTCATTAATCCCCATTGCTTCTCCAATTAGTCCCCCAAGGCCACCAACTATTCTGCCCACCTCCAGGAGAGGCGAGCTCCCTACCCCTCCTTAATCCATTCTTACTGCAGAGTGATGTTTCTAAAACATCTACTGGGTCATGGCACTCCAGTGGTTTCCCACGAACCCCTAGGATATAATTCGACTTTCCTCACTTGGCCTAGGAGGCCCTGCCATCCACTCTGGATTCAATTCTCACCATCCTCCTCACAGTCTTTTATGCTCTAGCCCAGGGGTCCTCAAAGTGTGGTTCCTGGAGCAGTAGCAACAACATTCCATGCAAACTTGTTAGAAAGGCAAATTCTCAAGACCTACCCCAAATCTAACAAATCACAAACTCTGGGGCTAAAGTTTAGCAGTCTGTGTTTTAGCAAGTCTTCCAAGTGATTCTTATCACCTGGTTTGGGAACGCCTGCACTGTCCTTACTGGATTTACTTCATTCCGGTTCTAATTCCCCAGGACTCTGTAGATGCCATGCCGCCTTTCTATGGGCCTCACCAACCCTTCTGCCTGATGAATTCCTACTTCTCCTGGTCATGCAGTCAATCCCACTCACTGCCATGTATATGGTCCAGTGAACACGAGGCTTAAACCCAAATCTGTCACATACAAATGTCTATTACCAAGGAGGCATGGAAATCATCCCAGGATCTGTTATTCTGGAAACTCAGTGAAGATCCAGCTCTGTCCTCTGTATTTCAACAAGCTGTATTTCAACAAACACGTGACGAAGCCTTATGAAAACAGCATTCAGTACCATCTGAGACAAAGTTTTGAAAGGAGGGATTCAGTTCACTTCAGATCGAAAAGCAGAATCTTCCTTGTCAATAGGGTGGACACAGCACACAATACCATTCTAGAGTCAGTGCTATGGTCTTAACATTTGTGTCTCCCCAAACTTCCTATGCCGAAAGCCTAACCCCAAAGGAGATGGTATTAGGAAGTGGGGCCTTTGAGAGGTGATTAGGTTATGAGAGTGCAGCCCTCATGAATGGACCTAGTGCCCTATAAAAGAGGCCCCACAGAACTCCCTTGCCCCCTCCACCATGTTAGGACACAGCAAAAAGACCACAGCCTGGGAAGTGGGTTCTTACCTGACAGGGAATCTGCCAGCAACTTGATCTTGGACTTCCCAGGCTCCATAACTACGAGAAATAAATGTCTGTTGTTTATAAGCCACTTAGCTCATGCTTTTTTTTGTTCTAGCTACCCGAATGGACTAAGACAGCCAAAAACCCACTCCACTGGTGTGAGAATCCTTGTTCTCATTCTTACTCTACACTGAGCAGGAGCTGCTTATACAATATGTCTTGCCAACTGGCTTCTCCATGAATAATTATCTCTAATATCTCAATCTAATGAGTGAACTCTCCAGGTGCAGATTTAAATGGTGACACTTGATACAGTGGTCTCCAAAGTTGGGAATCTTTTAATGCTACTAACAGGGCTGGGGATTTGAATTACTGATTATTGTTTTCAAATGACAACTAATCACCTCTAAGGTTTAAATTATGTACACACATGCACACGCATGCGTGTGCACACACACACACACACACACACACACACACACACACACCCCTACCTCCGCCTAAAGTGAAGAACTTTAAACCAGATTATAGATGACACAGCACCTGCAATAAATTGTCCAAGAATCTGCCTCTTCCCTTTTCCCTGTCTTCATGCTATGCTGGGAGGCAGCGAGCACACTGATAAGGAACATGTACTTTAGAGTCACTTGACCTGAGTCCAAATGGAGTCCCTGACACTTCTTAGTTATGTAAGCAAGTTATTACTCAACCTCTCTAGGCCTCACTTTCCTTATTTGTAAAGTGAGGATGGTAAGACGGAATATGAGAAAACATGCAAAAATGCCTAGCACATAGGACAATTATTACTATTTCATCATGTACCCTGTGTCTTTCTACGTTCCCAATTTTTCTTTCTGCCAAGTCCACATTTTGCACCCATCCATATAATCAATTTTATAGAGCATCTATTAAGTACACAGTTCTGTGCCTGGCATGGAAGACTCCATGATCAATGGGATGGGGGTCTGAGCCCACGTTCTCACATGGAGGTTCAGATTTAATTGATGGTCAATGCTTATTGACTCCTCACAATATACCAAAGTGTAGCGTTGAGCACTTTGCTCTCATCATGACATTTGATTTTAAGCCACCTATGAGGCAGATATTCTTTTACCGAAGAGGAATCTGAAGCATAAACAAGTTAGTCGGGCACCTAAGGCTAGCTGGATCCAAACCCAGGCAGCTTGAGCCCCAAGCCCTGCGTGCATGCCTGTACCACACCTATGGACCCTTCGGCTTTGGGAACATTCCTGTCTTCATCTCCCTCCTCCAGAAGCCTTATGAAAACAGCATTCAGTTCTTCCTCTGCTTGAACTCTTAAAATTAGTCATCTTAAAAATAATTATCAATACAACTCTAGATGTTACAGTCCTCCTTTTTTTTTTTTAAGATTATTTATTTATTTATTTATTTGACAGAGAGAGACACAGCGAGAGAGGGAACACAAGCAGGGGGAGCGGGAGAGGGAGAAGCAGGCCTCCCGCTGAGCAGAGAGCCCGATGTGGGGCTCGATCCCAGGAACATGGGATCATGACCTGAGCCCAAGGCAGACACTTAACGACTGAGCCACCCAGGCGCCCCTACAGTCCTCCTTTAGTACAGATTTCCTTCTTGCCCAGCCTTCACAGAAGCAGCACAGTGAAGGGCACAGGGCTCTGGAGCCGACTGCCTGACCTGCCACTCACCAGCTGTGTGATCTAGGGCAAGTGACACAGCCACTCTGTGCCTCAGTTCTTCTCACCTATAATACTGGTATACTGTTAACTGCCTCAGAGGTGGGCCTGAGAATTAAAAGAGTTAACATAGGCAAACTACTAAGCACAATGCAAGGCACATGGTAGGTGCTGTGTAAGTGGTGGGCATTGTTATTCATGCCACAATTATGTATTCATACTGTAATTATGTGTCCCATAAGTCAGGGACCGGTTTTTCTTGTCTTAATATCTTCAGGTCTGGTAAATCCTGTTCTTTCAACAGTATTTACTCAGTTGAACTCAAAAGAACCATTCTTTCTTTCTCTTGGTAAATAAAAACAGATCATGCTGGAAGATGCTATGTTGCTGGGTCCTAACTCATAAAGTCTTCCCCAGCTCCAGCCAGCCCTTTTCCCTCCAACCTAATCCTCACTATGAGAGGGGAAAATTCATTCTTTGCGTGGCAGGAACTGAAGACCCAGAAGAAAGAAGAATCAAGGAGTCTTTTGAAAGGCTAACTTCCCTAAGAAACTATATTTCCCTTCCCTCCACTTTGCTCATCTTCTTGTTACCTAGCTACTTCTTTTCCTTCATTTCTTCTGATGTTCCCACGGACACTTACAAATCCACCCAGTCAACAAACGGAACTGGGCACCCACCATATTCAGCATTCTGAGACAGGGCAGAAGGGCCAGGAAATAAGGCCCTGCGCCCCAAATCTTGGAGGAGAGTGAGTTAAAGCTCTCTGCTGCGTTTATCTTCCAGTATCGCTCCGCCCAGTGTCTCGGGATCAAAGCTCCGTCTCATCTTTCGTCTTGCCTTCCAGAAAGGCGACGTTTCGGCTCTGAACTCAGCTACCCGCGGTCCCCTGACCCTTCGCTTTCCCCTTCTGTTCATTGGAGGAGCTGAGGTAAAATTTCGCAGCTTTTAGCAGCAAACTTCTTCTATCGTCCCACCGACGGAAGGGTGTGTTCTTGCCAAAGCTGCCGTACCCCGGGCTCTCTCTCCGTACGTGGAGCCTTGAACAGAAGGAGTCCCGCGAGTACAGGGTTCCTTGGACCTGGTGCGTGGAAATGGCCTTGAGCCCAGGACCGCCAGGCGGGGCGGGCGACCTGGACCTCTACGTCAGCTCCCAGGCAGCTCACCTGCTCCCGGGGGGCGGGCGCGGAGGGCGGAGCGGGCGGGGCTGGGAGCCTGCCCGCCACGCCCCCGGGAGTACTAGGCACCGCCTCGCCGCCGCAGGGCACCCGGGCACCGGAGACCATGGGGAAGCTGGTGGTTCTGACCCTGCTTGGGGCCGGCCTGGCCCTAATCGGGGAGAGGTTAGTGGCACTTAGGTGAGTTGGCATCTTGATGGGGGCGCGTCCTTGGTTCTTTCTCTCCTCTTCCAAGTTTCAATGGCTACCCCGTGCCACCTTCCTAGCAGGTAGGGAAGAGCATTTTTAGAATCTCACTCCTCAGTTCCACCCGGCAAGCTATCCCTTGAGAAGCACTGATGTGGAAAAGTGAGCTGTTTGCCTTTCCTAAGATGGTAGAGCAGAAATGCCCCCCATTTATTTTCTGAAAGTCGTGCCCGCACCCCACCTCCTTTTCCACGTTGCCCTCCGCATTTTGCTCCGGAAAAAAAAAAAAAAAAAATGAACTCCGTTGGAAGGGCTGGACCTGGAGGGGACCAGGCCACCAGCTGGATGTTTACAGCCCACTCAGACATTGCCCAAGGCCAGTGCAACATTGATGAGTACTGGGGTACAGAGCTCGTCCTAGATTAAAAGAGCTAGCCAGACAGCAGGGAAATGAGCTGAAACTTGCAGGTGGTGACCACCGGCGTTTTCCGAGTATTAGGACCTTTTGAAGTGGCAGATCTAGCGTTGATAGGCAGAAATATCTCACGAGAAGTCAATATACTGGGCTAGAAAGAAACAGTAGGTATGATATGCATTTCCAAGTGGATCTAAAGCTTCTGCTTGCCCTCACTTGTCTTTAAGTTGCTTTTGTTTATTTCTCCAAGCAGAAGCTGATCTCAGAAGTTCACATTAGAATCTATTGGGAAGCCTGATGCCTTTTGTGAACACTTTCTAGTTCAGCTTGAGAATGTTTATTGTTACATTTGTTCCCAGCGCACCCAAGTGAGAGAATCATAAAAAGTCATAATTGCAAGGTAGATCCAAGGTGTATTTTTACAAAAGCGACAGTAAGATAAGTCAAGTGTAGACTCTTCCTGCATACAATCTAATAAAAATTTAAAATTATCCCTGGTATTTAGAAGAATGGTTCACTGTGGAAACAGGAACACTATATTGAAAAATAATTTGGCCAGTTGTTTATATTGTGGTCAGTTTGATGACTTTTATACACTTTGCCAAATAAGTTAGCATAAATTTTTTTTAAATAATGAAATTAAAGCAAAAGCTACAGGGTTTAGCTACTAGGAGACACTTGAATTTGGGGAAAGCATTTTGGTGGGGGGTCAAAAGACAAGACTATAGGGGGCCAAGGGGAGCCAAAGTGCAGATTTATAATAGATAATACTTTAGCAAATTACATAATACTACTCTGTACATTTCAAGTAATAATACTGTTCAGTTACTTATTCTATGGTATCATTTATCGGGCAGCAACATGCTGTCCATGTATAATGGCATTTTAGGCTTTCAACAATAATTGGGTGAGATGAGCTGATATAGGTGCATGATGTACATAATGTCCACATTATGTAAATAAGTATAAGGAAAAGGAGGTACCTACTTACTTGTTATATCATCCGTAAATGATGAGAGACAAAGTTAATGAACAAGAGGGTGATTCAAGACAGTGTCTAGACATTGATTTTGGGTGCTGTGCATCGTCCTCCAGTGTTCTTTTCTTCTACAGACAAAGAGCTAATGCATCTCGGGAAGTGGAGCCAGTAGAACCCCGGGACTGCCACCTCATTGAGGGACTTGGTATGTCTGTGACAGTGCAATTTCTTGCTCGTCATCCACCCGACTGAGGCTGCCAACTACATTAATTCCCTGCTACTCCTTAGAGCCTCTTGCCAGGGGTCTCTGCCCCATTTACTGACGTTACCTCATCCCAGGTCTCCAGGTACCCTCCTGAATGTCAAAATCTGTGGCTTTTCCCCCAATCTTTTTTTCCTTACTGATATCTCTCCATCATCTGAAGGACGTCATGTCCCTTACTGAACGCCCCTCCCATCCATTCTGTGCTATTTCACTCCCCTGTCTGTCTTCTTCCAGTGCCTATCTTCTTTTCTCTCTTCTTCCTTCTCCTTCATGGTGTTCCTGGCTTCAAATATCATTTCCTTCTAAATTTATCTGCAAGTACCAAGAGAAATATGACCTAGCCTTTACCCTGAGGAGCCTCACAGCCTACTCAGATGTCTTAAAATAAAATTACTCAAAACTCCATAGCTGCCTCCCTAACGTCTCAAACTGCAGGCCTTCTTTTCCAGACTGAAACCACTTTCCATTTCTGTCCTTTCCTCCCTCATACCCTCACCCACAACCAGCTCTTCTTCTAGACTTCTCCTATGTATGGTAACCCCATTCTCAAAGGGACTCAGTTCCATATTTAGGAGCCATATGTTTTCCCCTTGTCCCTCATTGTTCTCATAAGATGTGTTGGTATCAACCTCCTCTGTGGTTCCGCACAGGGCTGAGCTCACCCCATTACTGTTACTGCCGTATCTGCTTATCTGGGCTCCAAACCCCCCCATTCTCCCTCATACTGCTACTAGAAAAGCAGTTCCAGGCAGATTCTGTTCACTGTTCATAGAATGTGCTTTTTCACTTTCTCATGGTTGCTCATGAAATCCCCTGCACTGATTCCTTCCTCTTTGCTTCCTGAAATCGGCTGCAAAGTCCTCTCCTGCCTCTGAACTCCCCAGTGCTCTGAAACTCTGATTCACTTAGGACATCTACCACACACTTTATTTTATGGCTAGCAGTGTTCTCTCTCTCTCTCTCACTAGCAGATAGGAAACTCCCTAGGGTCAAGGACTGTGACTTATTTATCAGTATGTGTCGGGATGACAGCATAGTTTATTGTGATATGAGTTTGTATTTTCTTTTTCTTGGTACATATATTTCTTTATATATGATGTATTTCGACTATATATACATATATATAGAGAGAGAGAGAGAGAGGGACAGAATAAGTCTTTTTGATTTTGGTTTTCTTTCTTTGTTTTTCTTTCTTGATTTCGAAAGAAAAAGAAAGAAAGAAAGAAAGAAAGAAAGAAAGAAAGAAAGAAAGAAAGAAAGAAAGAAAGAAAGAAAGAAAAAAAAGGAAAGAAAAGAAAAAGTAGCCTTGGCCAATATGCTTCCTAGCACATGGAGGAGGTGTGTGCTGCTGGCTAGAAACAGAAGGAACTGGG